CCTTATCATTGTCAGATTTCAACAGCTAGTTTGACTGTCACTTTGCTCACTTCGCTAAGGAAGCAAAATGGGAATTTATTTTTTTAATCTGAGGTGCAATTCCTCACTGACTTCTCTGGTGATATAGCCAGTTTAAGATGTGACAACCCTGCTTTCCGCTCCTGTCACCCTTCAAAAATATGTGCCAACAAGTTATTTTCTTGGACTATGTTTGAGACCAGTACAATGAAATGACCTGAATTTAAAACAAGAATATATTTTCACCCCTCGGATCATGTTTGGGATCCATTTAAAAAATTGTCTCATGCCTGAAGAGAGAAGTTGGTTAACTGTGGCCAAAGGAGAGGAGGCCAAGAATAATGATTTATTAGACAGTGATGCTAGAGGAGGCTGAAATGAAGCTGAGCCTTTTGTAAACTCAAAAGATAGAACTCTGCCCTGATGAAAATCAATGGATGGGGGCTGTTCTGGTGCTACAGTGCAAGGTTTCTTTAATTAGTGTTTTGCTGCAAAACTAAAAGAAGGAGAAGTTGCTTTTCTGGTGATTTTGGGGGGTTGAAGGGTTTTTTAGTTGTGTGTTTTATTTTGTGTTTAGTTGTGCGTTTGTTGTATCATATCAAGTCCTCCAAGCTATAGCCAGGAAAGAAAAAACAACTAAGTGTGCTTCTTCTCACTCTCCTACTGCTCTTAGTGACTTTGTTGCGTTCTACAGCTACATGAAAGGAGATTGTAACGATGTGGAAGTCAATCTGCTCCCCCAGGTAACAAGAGACAGGTCAAAGAAATGGCCTCAAGTTACACTAGGGGCAGTTTAGTCTGGATATTAGGAAAAACTTAACAGAAAGCATTGTCAAGCATTGGAACAGGTTATCCAGAGAAGTGGTGGAGTCGTCCTCTCTAAAGGTACTTAAAAGATGTATAGATGTGGTGTTTAGTGACATGGTTTAGTGATGAATTTGGCAGTGTTAGGTTAACAGATGATCTTGATAATTTTGGAGGTCTTTTCCAGCCTAAATGATTCTATGATTCTAAGGTAGGAGAGGGTCAGTTTTGCAATTAATTGTCTTTTATGATACTTGTCATAGTAAAGTGTTATCCAGGGGTTCTTCAGCTGCTGTTTGTTGCACATCAGCCATTCAGGTCGCTGTCTGGCTTTATTCTAACCTAGTAAAACAAAGCTCAATGTAGTAAATGTTCATATAACCAATTCTTTTGCTGGGTTCACTTTAAGTGTTGGTGCAGGAGTGTCCCTAAGTAAGTGTTGTTCAAAATAATTCAGCCATCTACCCAAGGGACAAGAACAGGCTTCAAAGGCACCACGGCCCTTTAAGAGTAGGTGTATGTACAGTCTGGTCCAGACAAAACAAATTACTTGTTGAGCATCAAAGAAGAGAGAGGATATTGAAGCCACCTGTCCTTTGCCCAGTCCAACACTGAAGAAAATCCTTTTTTTTAATAGAAATACAACCCTCTTCTTCAGTCTGATATCATTTAAAGCTAAGAAAGAAGAGCAGACTCAGCTTCTTTTTCTCTTTCTTATTCTTTTTGCACCTTTTTTTACCTTTTTTTTTTTTTTTTTTTTTTTTGAGTCTGCTACTGACAATTGGTGTAGGCCTTCCAATAAGACAAAGGCAGCATTCCAGGAGGTTTTGTAAAATAAAGAAGTGAATAACTGCAGTTAAATTTCTCTGAAGACTATGCATGTGTTTTGCTTTTATTTAATGTACAATTGTGTTCTAAAAGTGCTATGGCAAATTGTTGCTTTTTTTATATTGAATAGCTTCTTGTACATGCTCAGAGTGGTATTTGTATGCTACATGTTAAATAGTGCAGTCCTTTGTACAACATCAAGGTGATTGTTTGACAAGTTCCACCTACCTAAAACTGTGGAAACAAGCTGAGAGCAGGGGTGAACACAATTGTCAATATCTGGTGATGCATTGGGAGATAAAAAAGATATTCCAGTTTGAATTTTCAGAAATAACACTTACTGGAAAGAATCTCACATTTAATAATCTGAATGTATTTCATCAGTATACATAAAGCCTCTCCACATGATGTAAACATTTGGTATCAGATGACATTGTTTGTCAGAAGTGTTTTGGTTCTTCAATCAGGTAATTCCAAAGTGTTCAAGGAATTCCTTAATCTCGTTATATGATTACATCTGAGGATACAACATGGATTTGAGGAACCCATTTGGCCATTCTGAGCCAGATCAAGAACCATTTCATAGTTTCTAGGGGAGCAGGGTGTTATTTTTACAAAGATGTCCTGGTTTCATGGAAAATGAGCATTTATCTTAGTTCTTCTGGGAGCTATGGAGAATGCAGTAGTTATTCTCCTTTGAAAGCTTTTTGTTTGTAGTAGGCAATTTGGAATTTGGCTAGAATGGTGTGGTTTACTTCTCAAATATGTAACTTTTAAACAGATCTCCATTCATATACTTTGGAAGTTCATACAGAATTTAGTAATTTTCTTCCTATCAGTGATGTCAATCTTGAACACATTTTAGTAAATCAGGTTGAATCATTCTGCATTCTTGAGATAATATCAACAAAATTTTAGCTTCCAGTAGGAGACAGATATTCATATATCTGTTAATTTAAATAGAAATCAACAACAATATATAAAAATCTATAGCACAAACCAGTGCTGTCAACTAATACACTGAAATTTTAAAAGAGCTGTTGTGTAATTTGGTTATTTTACTGATTTTTCTTCATGTTTTTTTAGTGGGTTTATCTTTTTAAATATATACATTTAATATAGCTGTATGGCTATAGAATATTAATTAAGAATATTCAAACTGATGGCATTTTTTCCCTGATTTTCCAGCTAAGACATTTAGGAAATGATGAAGTACACATTGTCTGGTCAGAACATACTCGAGATTATAGAAGAGGAATAATTCCAACAGAATTTGGTGATGTTCTTATAGTTATCTATCCCATGAAAAACCATATGTTCAGTATCCAGATTATGAAAAAGCCTGAGGTAAGGGTTTGTTTTCTTTTGTGTTTCCTTTGTGGGTTTAACATGAACTGAGTTTTGTTTAGAATCTGAGGTTTGGGTATAATAGATTGACCCAACAAGGTGGTGTCTTAAGAATGGACAGTTGCAGAGGTGGTAGGAGGGAAGAGCTCAGTGAGTACAGTGCATAGTAAAATAAGTAACTTGAAATTGCAAAGGCCTGATGCTGTAAAGCATATCTGCTAACAGCATAATCTGGAAACAAAGCTAGAATATTCTGCATAGTAATTTAAATATTACAGTAAACTTGTTGAGCTTTTTTATCAAATTTGATACATAACCAAGGTTGTTAGAATAATGGCCTGCTCCAACTTCTTCCATGTCATATTCCCCTTTTTCCTCTCAAACCTATTTTTTACTTTCTTCTTATCTCCACACAAGAATTTGGAGATTAATTCAGTAAAGCAAGATGACTCAGCCCTTAAGCATAAGAATACAAATTCTTTCTAATGACTGTTCTTCAAATGTCAGTGTTGGCCCTGTTCTTAAAGCAGTGGTTTAGGGTTGTGAACACTAAACTGACTGAGTAAAAGTGGTCATGAGTTTTAGTACTACCTAACTTCTGTGTGTGATGTCACTTGCCACGAATTTCTATACTTTGTTAAAATTATTATTACAAGTAGTCATATTAATCAATGTGGTATGGCAGAAATAGGATTGCCTCATTATGATGATTGCCTCTATCTATTGATAGGAATGAAACAATAATCAGTCTTGTTATTGTTGGATTACTTACATTTTTAACTAATAAGTATATTCTTTTACTATTTTAAATACAAATAGTTGTATTATTGGGAGCATGCATGTTAAGAAGGAAAGCAAAAACTGCTGATTGTTATTAGTCCAAAAAGAAGTCCTTGTATGTCAAAAAGTGCCTTCCATCAGATTTCAGTATTCTCAAAACTATAGTAAATTACTAATGGCAAAGATAACACAGGGATCTAAAATTCTTTTGCAGCATTTGTTTCCTGTAAGCAGGAAGAATATTTAGTGTATTCTCTGCTCCCTTTGCTGAGGTGATGCACAAATATTGCTGCTTTTCTCCTGCTTTATGTCAGCAGCTTCAGAACTTTATTCACATGTAAAGGAAATGAAGATACTTAATACTGAATGTTTGTTTTGTTTTGTTTTAATTGCAAAATTATGATGGATTAGAGAGATATGTAATGCCAAAACATAAGATCTATCTGTTCTGTTCACCTTTTGGGAGCTATCTATACTAAATATTGCAGTTTTCTACTGATCTCACAAATAAGGTTTTACAATTAGTTTCCAAAGAGGCAAACTTTCACCACAGTGTTTTTGTTCAGATAATGTAAAAAAAAGGAACAGAAGGAAAAAAAAATAGAAGGTGAAGGTCAATACACCAGTAACTGCATGATACTTTCACACTGGGTTGGTCCTTATAGACATGTTAATAACTACAGCCATGATAAAAAATATATTAGAATTTGAGTAATTTTTTCTTTTGCTTATTACCATCTATAATATTATAATCTAGCCTATCAACCTCATAAGCATTATATGCATGACTTCCTAGGATTTTTGCAGCAAATGTTGGAAATGATCTTTGATGAGACATTAAAATAGTTACTTAATTTTTTTCGTATGCTGTGTTATCTGTTGCCAAGGATATCAAGCAGTTATGTGGCTGTGTATTTCCGCAAGAGAAAAGATCTGACTTGCAACACAATAACTGGTTTGATTATCTAGCAATGAGGAGGGAAAAAGACATATATTTGAGTGCTCTATTGTTAATGTTGATTGCTAATTGTTATAGCTATGATCTTGTCTTGCTTTATGTTGAACTTCTTAATTTTTTATTCAGGTTCCATTTTTTGGTCCACTCTTTGATGGTGCTATTGTGAATGGAAAAATTCTGCCTATTATGGTTCGTGCAACAGCTATAAATGCAAGCCGTGCATTGAAATCATTAATTCCATTATACCAAAACTTGTATCCTTTCACTCAAATGGTTTCCAAGTCATATACATTCCCTTGAAGTTCTATAGATATGATATTCATGGGGTTTCTTATTTTTTTTCAGATTAATATAGGGAAATTTTTTTTGTAATGGTGATGTTGCCTTTAGGGAACTTAAAACCATAGAAGAGCATTCAGATGAAGACCAGATTTTTTTAATTAAATACACATTAGATGAAGTGCTGAAAAACTGCCTGGTACTAATGCTTTGTAGCATAGACTTGTCATTTTTTGTTAACAAAATTATTTTAATGACCATTTTGTGAATGGTCTTTCTAAAATAGCAATATCATGCTGTTAACAATCTTTCTTTCCTTAAGATACTAAGCATTTATCCAGTATTAGTGTGACTTAATTTTATTTTCTAGTTCCAATAATGCTGCTTTCCTTCAAGGTGCAAAGTTTATGAAACTTCCATCACTCAGATTTTGTTATTCAGCTCAGAACACAAAGTTGATCTCAAAATCATGTTAGTATCTTTGTAAATGTGTCAGAAAAGGCTGCCTCTTTTCTGTTTTTGTTGTTGGAACTGAAATTTTATGTTTTGGAGGAGCTGCTCTTGGAAGAATAGATCAATCAACCATAAATTAAAAAACATAAGGTAAGTCAGTCACATACACCCCTTTTTCCTTACTTTAGATTGAGTTCTGTTAGTTAAATAAACAGAATCAACATGTTAGTTAAATCATCAAGATTTAACTAACTAAATCAACTAAATCAACTAAAATCAACATGTTAGTTAAATCATCAAGAAATTTCTCAATTTCATAAACTGAAAGATAAGTTTAAATTTTGATCAAGAAGAATTCTGTGCCTAATTTCTAACCAAGCTATAAATACTAGTTCTTGTCATGTGATAGATTGTTGCTAAAATACTATTTTTTCTGTGACTGACTGTTAATACTTGCAGAGTTTTGGATTAGATATGATGAAATGGATTTAGGGATGAATGATGGATGTGTTTTATGTGATCACATTAAGTGATGTTTGTGCCATTTCTGTAGATGACACATGTTGATTCATTGTATTTTCATGTTTAGAAAGGTCCGATCTTTCTGTCATTACTCAAGTAGCTTAGTCAAAGAATTTAAAATGTATTATCATTATCATCATCAACCATCAAAAGTGATGGTTTAGAGCATTATATTGATGTATAGCGATGAGCAATTGGAAAACAATTTACTTTGAAATAGTAAACTTCCAGTACCAAAAAAACCTCATGGACTTGTAGGTTTAAACTTTACAGACTATGAAAGGTTTATTACATTCCTTCGAGATAGGTTGCCAGCTCAATGTCTAGGAATTGGCCAGTTCCATGGAGTTGTGCACTGCATTTTTAATTCAGTTTTCCAAACTGTACTTTTTAATATGCATCAAAGCACAGCATGTCATTTATGACATAATGTGGACTCCTTTAAAATGCTGATAATATGTCTTTTGGTATGATTAGCATGATAAGTGGGGAAGCATTATGTGTATTTGATTTTAGATAGCATTGGTTGGTAGGTTTCATGTCATCACTTGGTAAGCTTATTAAGTACCAGTTGACTGGACACTGATATTAAAGGGTGGCTTTGTTAAGTCATCAGTGGAATTCGTTTTCCATCTGTCTTGGAGTATCTTATATTTACTGTTCAGCATAATAATCTAAAAGTTAAAATGGAGTTGTGAGAAGTTCTTTAAAAATCTGTTTGCTTGGTGTGAAATTAGGAAAAAACTCTACAAACTTTCCTAGCTTGAATTAGGGTCTGATGGAGTCAGTTGTGTCAGTAGAGAACAGCAAAAATGCTAAACTTCAAAGTCTGGCGTAAGTGGCATAAAAACCTCTTGATTAAAAATGTCATGGACATGGTGCTCAGCCCATGGCCAGACTTGAGGTCAAGAAGGAATTTCCCTCACACAAGAATAGCTAGGAGTGGTGGATGTTTCCTGTAACATGGACATGGTCTGTTATCTAGGAACATTTGAAAGTTGAATCTAATTATGTTCCTGTGACAGCAGAGAGTTGAAGACGTCAAGGACTGTCTTTATTGTCTCCTGCTTTTATTCCTCTGGGATATTTTAGCTATGGCTGCAGCACTTCACTTCTGGCTTTTAAGTTTGTAATAGACTAAAAGATGTGAGGAACGGGCATATTTTATGGTCTGTGGTTAAGTAGCTTTTCTGGAGACACTGCCGGAATTAATGTCTCTTGTGGAAGACAGGATTCACTAATCAAGGTGGCCTTTCCATGTGTTGGAATATTGCTGGAGCAAAGAAAAAGAGGGCTCAGAGTGGTGAAAATGATACATTTGAAAAGGGAGGAAAAAGGGAAGAAAATTGCTATTTTTCAGAAAGTACAGGAAATGGAAAAGTGAATCTGATGATCAGGGATTTCCACAAGTCCAGGACCATAACAGTGTCAGTGAAAGAGAATCCTGAAGTGATGTTCTTGAAACTGATCTTCATTTACTTACTTATGAATCTCTAATGTATTGATTAGTGTTAATTTATTAGGAATTTGGATGATAGTTAATAGATATCCAGTTGAATGTGGATGCCAAGGGCACAAGAGTACTTGAGACTTGTCAAAGAAAACAGATGTCAGGCACTACATTTCTGTATTAGCTTTTCTTTTAACAGTAGTAGACCAGCAGAAATAGTTAATTTCAAAGCCAGCATGAGTGTATGGATGTCTCTCTGCCTGCAGGTGTGTGCTTTGTTTTCTGGTACCATGTAATACTCGGTGAGCACTTTTTTACTTTGTAGGGAGCTTATGATGTGTATGCAGACCGGTGCTTATCCATTTTTGAAGAATGTTTATAACACCACATTTGTAGATCTTGTAGTGATGGATCACTGTAAGCTCTTAGTTTAATTAAGACTGTGTTCATTTGCTCCTAATTCCCCATATGGGGTGGGGAAAAATTGGCACTGAGCTTGGCCGTCCTACTTCCAAAGAGAGCTTATCTACCCTCTGAGATAGTGCATTTTCTAAGTGCAGACCTGACTGAAAAAATCAGCTGTCATTTGCAATCAGCAGGGATATTCAGTCCTCTTCACGTAACCTGATTGCAACTTTTTCCTTAATGCGCCGGTCTGTTAATCACAGTGTGGCAATGGCAGTATGTGTGAATGCTATAATAATGGTTGCATGGATACCAGAAATTCTGGTCATCTCCCTCTTACAGTCTTCTCCAACTTGGAGTATGTGTTGTATGGTCTCAAGTAGCTTTCTTAGACTGACATATTCTGTCAATCAACTTCCTCTTTCTGACATTATTTTGACATTTCTGATAGGATACTTAGATTGTAAAGCACTTCAAAGATTTGATTTGTTTAATGATTTTAAAAGGTTTTACCTTCTTTGTGGTTTTATTCTTTGCTCAGGATACTATATATTTCCATTTTGTCATGTTCTAAGATTAAAAATTTACTAAATTTATTAGCAAACATTATTCATGCATAGCAGGTGTGCTGCTTTTTTTGATTCTTGACACACTCATTGGTGCAGCTGTGTGAAGAGAATATTGCTGTTTTGGGTGGAGTTTTTACAGTGGTGTGTGTAATTTGCTTTAATTTCTCCTTCAAGTATTCTCTCATCCCCCAATAATTTTTGGTAACCTGGCTGTTTTGTATGAGTAGCCCCTCAGGAATAGGTGGCATACATACACATGGAAGCACAAAATACTCGTGGTGTCATGCTAATGAAGCAGCAGTAACCCCCTCTCTGTCTCACAGCTGATGTGTTTCTTTTCCTCATTGCATTTGCCATTGTCTTAAGAAATGCATGCTTATCTCCTGAGTGTGCTCAAGCTGCACATATGCTGGGAAAACTTCTAAAACTCATAAATGAAGGTGTAATAATGGGACTAAATGTTGAGAATTGTTTTCACTATGATGTAGAATAAGAAGGACAATATTTAGGAATTGTTAAATACTCTTGATTTATTGAATTGCATTGAAATTCTTGATACAGAGAGTTTTATTCATGGCTTATGTCTCAGACCAAGCACTTTGTCACACTCTGAATTCAGAATCAAACATGTGGGAAATGGATCAATACTAAGTATTTGGAACAATAGAAATTCTGGCTCCATATAGAATTCTGTTTGAACTTCCTGAATAAACAGCAAACATCAGCCAGATGCCAAGAGGTGCACCTTGACATAGTAGGCACCTCCAGTGATCCAACTTTTTACAATTATTGCAACAAAGCAGGACAAATACTAGAAACCTTGTAAGAGTGAAATTCCAATTGTGAAAAAAATAAGTGTCACTTTTTCATTGTGCACAAATTCTGGAGTGTTGACAATTATTCCAAACTTCAGATAGTGCAATTGAGAAACTCTGTCTCACATAGTATTCCCCTGTTATAGATGCTACCTAAGACACACAGTAAAAAGCTAAATCCTCTTTAACATCTTTTAAATCTGAAATTTATAGATATTTTAGAATACTTGGAGTATGCATGACTGTTTTATCCTTAAACATCATAATAATTTTCCCTCCATCTAATATTGTGCAAAGTTTTTGACTTAGTGCCAAGAACTGGCATTTCATTTTTGATATTTTTTTTGGTCACATGAAACCAATTCATTTAAATAGCAAAAAATAATGCTGCTTTAATTATTCCATCTGAAAATGTTATAGAGTAAATCTTAATAGGAATGATTGGATAAATTAATCTTTATTACGAAAACTGAAAATTTGACATCCTCCTAACTTGTTTGATATTGTATGACTAATCAGTTGGTACTTCATGTATCATAGCTAATCTTTTGACAGTTGTCTTCTAGAGAAAGGGAAGGACTTAACCCCATATGGTGTCTGACAAGGCAGTAACTTATTTATGAATAAAGTAATGTCTATGAGTGGTTTGTTAAAAGTTTGTCCTGTATTAGAAGCTGATCACTCAGGAAAAGCTTTTTTTCCTGAGGTGATACTCAACGGCCCCAAGAAAGGGTTTTATTAGAACTGGTAGTGTTGCTGTTTGTTGTTCCTGCTTGACCATTTCCTGCCTGAAGATCGAATGGCAGGCCCTGGAAAAGTGAAGAAAGTGTTCTTTATTAATGACATACAGTGAGCAAAGGGTATTCTTCAGACTTCTAGCTACATTTGTTTCACTTAATTAAGAATAGTTGTTGTATTTGAATTTTCAAACTGTAACTTGTAAAGATTTTGAAGATTTCTTACTTGTACAGCAACATAGAAGTTAAAACTGGATAGCACTGATTTAGGTAGTGCCAGTTTCCCCTTTTCCAGGAAGTTTTCTATCTTAAAGCTGCACGAGCACCTCCAAGGAAAAAAGTGAATAGAGTGGCAGTGCATCAGTGACAACCATGTATCAAATGGGAGAGGCATAAGGGTTGCTCACTCTCATAGTACTGGTGTAGTGAAAGGAATCATACGTGAAATTATGATTACTCTTCTAATATTTTCTGGCTTAGAATTTTTTTTATCTGGCATATGCCAAGAGTCTGGAAAGTTTGCTGTATTTCTGGCAATATGTTTTTGGTACAGGACATTTAATAAGATTTTAACATACCTCTTATTCATTTTTTTTTCTTGTCATCACAGGTGAGATGATACCGACATTAAAATTAATGCTTGGTACTCTTT